GTCACACATTTAACTTACGCATATGTTATACCCAGTGTACATTGTCATTGTTTGTAAGGATTTGTTTTTAAAAGCTATATGCAAATGTATACATTTATCAGTCCAGTTATTGCTATTGTTCCTTATTTCTTTGTGTAGATCCATTTTCCATCTAAAGTCATTCTGCTATTGCCTGAAGGATTGCCTTGAACATTTGCTGCAGTGCAGATGTGGTGATAATAAATTCTTTGTTTTTGAGTACCTGAAAATGTTTTCCTTTTCCTTTTGTTTTTGAAAGGTAGTTTCACAAAATAGAGAAAGAAGACAGAACATTGAAGGTCTTAAAAGAATTTTAATAAAGATATCATCCCACTTTCTTAAAACAGAAAACCCACTGTCAAGCTTATCTTTGTTCCTTTGAACATAAGTCCTTTCCTCCTCCTCTCATCGCTTTGAAAATTTTCTCTGTATTACTGGTATTAAGCAAATTGATTATGATGCTCCCTGGTACAATTTCTCTCATTTTCTTATAATGGCATTCACTGAATTTCTTGGATCTTTGGGTTATAGTTTCCATCAAATTTAAAAGATTTACCTCCTTTTTTTTTTCTTTTACTACAGGAAAATTTATTACAAAGAATTTTAAAGGATATAAATCAACAGCCAGATGAAAGTTTCTACCCTCATAGAGCTTATGGTCTTTTAAAGCAACATGTAAAAAAGGCTTGATCCCTCCAACCCACTCCAAGCTGGAAATGCTTGTGGAAAATTTTCTAGCTGTATATAGAAATTTTCTAGCTGTGATATTTATGTATACACACATATAAACATATACACATACATACATACATATTTTATATATATAAAATTTTCTAGCTGTATATGTGTGTGTGTATGTATGTGTGTGTGTGTGTGTGTGTGTATATATATATTCGCCCTTCTTCCCTCTCCCTGGGAATTTCATCTAATAATTGGCAAGTGAAAGTTGTCCCACATCTCACCCATGTTCCTTATTTTATTGTTACTTTGTTTCCTTGTGTGTCTCATTTTCAAGTTTCTCTTGCTATATCTTTAAATTCACTAATCTATTTTCCTGCAATGTCTAATTTGCCAATGACCCCCATTTAACATGCTTTCATCCAAGATATTTTCTTCCCTAAAATTTTTCATGTTTAAAAAGTCAACATGTATTTCTTAAAATATCTGTCTCTGTTTAACTTTTAGAATATGTGGAATGCAGTTTTAATAACTGTTTGGATGTCCTCTCCCATGAATTATAATATGTGTCAATTTCCAGTGAGTTTTTATTGATTGATAATTAAAGGGAATATTTCTTACTCCTTTTTCAAGTCTAGCAACTTTGTTTAGATGCCAATCATTGTGAATTTTGCCTTGTTGGGTACTGAATGCTTTTGTATTTTTAAAAATCTTAAATTTTTGGCCCTCCCTGGTGGCACAGTGGGTTAAAGCACTGCACTAAGAAGCTTAAGCCAATTCCGCATTGAGTTCGATCCCCGCCTGCTCTGGAGGAGATCCACATGGTGTGGTAGACCTCTCCTGACCTGCCCGCTGCTCCCCTCAGCAGTGTACTTCATCGATCTGCCTGTTCTGCTCCCCACTCTGTTCCTGGTGAATCCTCTCACCCTCCGCATCTCTGGCCTGTACCTCAGTTCTGTATGAATAAATCAATCTTTAAAAAAAAATCTTAAATTTTGTTCTGAGATGCAGTTAAGTTAATTACAAAGAGTTTGTTCCTTTTAGGTCTTGCTTTGATAGTTTAGGAGGTCCCAAAATTCAGCTTAAAATTAGTTATTTCTGTTTTGTAAAGCAAGACCTTCCCAAGTAACCTACCCAGTACCCCACAAGTCATGAATTTTTGCAGTTGGGCTGGTGAGTAGAGTCATTGTTCCTGGCTCTGCTGAGTTCCAAATCCTCTTTCTAGTTCCTTTCCATGGAACTTTCCCAGCTTCAGGTACTTTTTCTACATGCATGTGCTGAATCAGTCTGAGTTGAATTCTCAATGGGACTCTCTTCAGATTTCCAGAGTTCTCTTTCTGTTCATCTCTCTCCTCTAGAACTTTGTCCTAGAAACTTTAGATGTTCTTGGTCTCCCTGGACTCCATTCAGTTTTCCAAACTCAGAGCTTACTGTAGTCATCTCCCTGCAAATACCCTCAGCAGTGAGCTGGGATAATCACAGAGACACATCATTTTCTCTGTATATCAGGGATCATTGGCTTTTATTGCCTGATATGTAGTGGCTTTAAACACCATTACTACATATATTTTTGTTAGTTTTTCCCCCAAAGAATTCCCAGGTCCTTCTCTTGGTAATTAAAAGAGGCATCTAGCTGATGCATCATCTGTGCCAGAAATGTGCCCCTGGCCTTATGGTTATAGGTACCAGCTGGTTCCAGAACAAGTGCAGACAGCTCGGGGGGCATGTGGAGGCTGTTAAATTCAGGAAGGAAGTATTTGCTGAATTCACATGGAATGGCAGCCTACCTGATGCCCTCCAACACAATCTTTCTTCTTTCCAGATGGCTATCTTGTCTCTTTAGGCCTGCAGGCCTTGGACAGCCTAATTTGGTAAGTGACTGTGCCTTCACATGAAGCAGATAGAGTCTTGTACTGATGCAGCTTTTGTTTCAGTAACTGGATTGTGGGTGGCAATAGAAGATTGGGCACTCTACATGGCATCTTTGGGACCAAAGTAAAGTCACGAAAGCTTTAAAGGGTACCTAACAGTAGAAAGGCCCTGACCAAATTTCCTTTTTAAATTCTACATCTGAAGCAGTTTTGAAACTTATACTTGGAGTTATTTTGCCTTTTAATTTTGTGTGTATGTGTGTGTGCACACGAGTACATGAATGTGCATATGGATGTATCAGATTGAAACAAAGGGATGATGAATTCTGAATCCAGAAGCCAATAGCTTTTCTCTTTCCTTTAGACATCATATCTTAAACATTCTGTTAACCCTTAACCAACTCCTACAAGCTTAAATTACTCTGCTCAGGCTGGCATAACAAAATGCCATAGATTGAGCAGCTAAAGCAATAGAAATTTATTTTCTCACAGTTCCGGAGGTTGAGAGTCCAAAATCAGGAGGCCAGAGGTTTGGTTTCTGGTGAAACCTTTCTTTCTGGCATCTTGTCACTATGTCCTTGCAGAATTTTTCCTGTGTGCACATTCAGGAAGAGAGAGGCCTCTGTTGTCTCTTCCTCTTCTTATAAGGACACTGGTCCAGTCAGATTATGGCTTTCCCTTTATGACTTCATTTAATCTTAATTGTCTCCTTAAAAGTCCTCCTTCCATATACAATGACACTGGGGTTTAAGGATTCAACATATTCACTGAGGACGGACACAATTCAGTCTACAGTACTCCCCCCAGACAAGCAGCTAGGTCATCATTTTCTTTGCTTTTGTGAATGTTCATTTTCACCTGGGCCTCTTGCTTCATTTACATTCAGTTAGGATGACAGGGGGCTGCCTGGGTTATTGATTCTAAGTTAACATTGAGTGGGGTGTCATTATCAGTAAGCAGCCCCCCATACTAGACAAGCCATATGACACCCCACCTGAGAATCCAATCCTAGCTTGCTGATCTTGGCAAAGCAACTATCACTGCAGGAGACCCAGTCATAGGAAAGAGTCCCTGCCATCTAGAATTCAAGTCAACCAGGGCAAGTTGGCCCTGCTCGTGATTTTCCTCCTTCTGTCCACTTGCCATTTCTCCTCCTCAACTGAATCCTGTCCCCGGCCTAGTTTTGTTGTTCATTTTCCACATGATACCTCTATAATATAGGTAGGGTACCAAGAGACAATACAGCCTGGCAGAGGTTCCGAAGCTTTGGTGCACATTAGAAGCTCTCAAGGGGCTTGCAAAAATGCCAATGTCCAGCTCACATCACAAGTGGATCAAGTCAAAATGACAGAGGTGAGAGCCAAACATTGATACTTTTCCTGATGAAGTAGATTCTGAATTTTAGTTTCATCATTTCTGGTTGTCTGGCCTTGGGTGAAAGTCATAGTAGCATTATCTTAGATGACTGAGGTAAGGATTAAATGAATCACTAATCAAGAAGTGCCCAGAACAGTGCCTGACATATAAAGTATGTGTCATGTTAACCATTGTTATCACCACTGGTGACCTAAGTGAAACTCAAGAATTAGATAGGACACAGTCAACATACTAAGTCACAATCATGAAAGGGAAGAGGGAGTTAATGCTTATCAAGTGCTTGCTTGATACAAAGCATGCATTATTTTACTTAATCTTTACAGAATCTCTCAAGACCTATATTATTATTACCATTTACAGAAGAATACACTACAGTTTAGATATGACTCAGTTAATCTAGTGACAGAATGCAGATTTTTAACTGTGTGCTTCTCATTCCAAACTCAGGCTCCTCTGAACTCTCCTCTTAACGAGGCCTTCTGTGAGAAGATTGAGTTGGACTTCCGTATTTGTCTTTGCATTGCCCAATTTTATCAAAAATCCTGCTAAGTCAGTTCAGCCAGAATCCCCCACCCTGAATCTCAGATCAAATTCCTGATAACCCACCACCCCCAGGTGATGTCTGATTGCCTGACCTGCCTTCAGCAAGAATCCTGTTAGGTCAGTGCAGCCCAAATCCCCAAGCCCCTGATGTTTTCTATCAGTAATTTTCCATCTACAAACTTCTCACCCTACTCCTTGTTATAAATCCCCTTGTCTATGTTATACTCATAATTGAACCCAGCTCTACACTAAAGTCATTTATCCTATTACACCAGTTCCTGAATGGAATCAGCTTTTATTGCTTAAACTACTGTGCAGCTCTGGTTTTTATTTGCTAATGTGTGCATGCACACACACATACACACACTACAGAACAGCTCTGAAAGCTCTCCACAGGATCTGCTCACAACTGGGCTAATGCACCCCATTTTGGTAAGAAACATGGAAACAGCCCCCCAGCGCCAACTAGTTAGTTATGCCTCTTTGGCACTCATGATTGCAAACATTACCCACCGCAGTCTTCTGGGGACATGTTGGACTTGGGAGGCTCAGCCACCAGCCTCTGAATCTGGGCTAGCGTGCTGCAGGCTTCCTGCATCTCCCTCCAAATGAGAAACACATCCTCTCTGACCCCGGCTCCTAGAAGGGAAAGGCAATATGAGCACCAGCCATGACAGGCATGAGAATGCCTAGAGTCTTAGCAAGCCTGGCACACCAGGGAAGAAAGAGAATATTTATGAACATCAAAAACTCCTTTCCCCACTAATTTCATTCTGAGAATCAGAACTCTCCCCTCAATAAATCAAAAATGTAAACTCTAGGAGACAATAAATCCTTGGAAATAAATATTTGGAGTGGCCAGAATTACAAGATGAATTATTGGTTATAGCTAAATAAGACCAAGAATAAAAATGCTCAGAAGTACTTAATAAAACCTGAGTGACTGCTGTGAGCAAGGGAAATTTGATGATCTGTGAAAGGACAACTTCTAATTCTTTCTTGATTTAGCTCAGCATTCTGCTTCTTTGAAACCCGTCTTTTACAAGTTTTTCCCTAATGTGATCATGATTCTTTGGCCTCTTTCTCTGCAACTCTGCTGTCTTAGTGACTAGGTTAGACTGTGTGACATTTTTAAAAAATGATACAGCTCCATTAATATAGATATCTATGTCTATCTCATAATCAAATTTCATTTCATAACTTAGTGTCCAATGTTGGGATGAAGGCTCTGCTCTTACCAAGTTCCAGTTACTAACAAAGTAGGTTAACGAGGGTGTAGGAGCAGGAGGGAAAGGGCGTGACCATGAAAGTGCCCCATGAGGGGCCTATGGCGCTATGGCGACCCTATCAAGGCCAATGTCTTGCTTGTGATCTGGTCCTGCGGTTTTGTAAGATGTTGCTATGGGGGACCTAGTTCCCCTAGTTGACCTGGGGAAGGGGCATATGTGTACCTCCATTTATGTACTGTGCTGGTTTGCTTCTCATAGGAGTGACCAGAGAAGAATACAGCAGACGCATTCTTTGGTTTTAACTTCTTACAACTGCATGTGAACTAGTGACGTGCTCCACCCACCTCTCAGCCAGAGGCTGCAGGGCACATAAGGGCAGTGGTGGTTCCACGGTTGGCATATGCTACCCACCCACCACCTGGTCACCTCTCAGGTCACTGTAGGGTGATAAGGCGGCGTCTGGGCTCGACAGACAAGAATTTAGTAGATATCTTCTCTAGTGTTAAAAACTCCATTCCAAGAGGAGGTTTATTAAAACATACACACACAATAGCTATTCCACAGACTACACACTGTTGGCTAAGGGAACACCGATAATGTTATTAAAGTAAGCTGAGTCCAAATTCTCTAAAGACAAATACGTGTTTGGCATTATGTTTGGATCTTCCTACATTTTCTTATTTCTTTCCACCACAATTCTGCAAGCAAATACTATTCATGCCCCTATTTTATAGCAGAGAAAACTGAGGCAGAGCAAATTGCCCGGGTCACACTGTCAATGAGTGATAGAGCAGGGAATCAAAACAATAGATGTGACTGTGTCAACTTAACTGCCCTGACCAGTTGCCCTGGAAAAGGGATGGATGTCTACAGGGAGCCCTGATGGTGATAAGGACACACACGCCAGGCTGCTAGGCCTTATCACAGTAAGCCACAGATGGCTAAGACCCCACAACAACAGAGAATGAAAGGCCACCCTCAGGTTTAGGGGCTGCCCCAAGAGATTCACCCACTCAGGGCCAAGGGCTGACCCTAAGCCACCAGGGCAGAGGATGTAGACCAGAGATGATTTTTTTTTTAAGTTTATAAAACATTTAGTATATATCAGTTCTGTCACACTTAATGCTGTAATAAAAAAAAGAACTTATAATTTCTTGTAAGAGGAGAAGCATAATTCTACTAGTTCTATAATTTTCCAGTCAAAAGATGAGCATTAATCAACAGTATCAGTTCAGAACTCAAAATGTATACTAAAGAATGGCAATGGAAATAGAGAATAACAGAATCCAATTCAGTTTATCAAATATTTTTTATAGATTTTTTGTAACTGTTATTTTTACATCATTTTGTACATTTTTTAAATCTCAATTGTAATCCCCGCGGATTTCCCATCACCGACTCACCCGTGTGCCATCACCATAGTCCCGTGCATTTCCCTCCCCCACCCCTGTTTTTGATCCCATTCCCCCAGAGATGATGTTTTTAACTTTTTTTTTTTTAAAAAATCTATTTATTTATTCATACAGAACTGGGGTACAGGCCAGAGATACAGAGGGCAAGAGGATTCACCAGAGACAGAGTGGGGAGCAGAACAGGCAGACTGACCAAGGACACTGCTGGGGGAGCAGCCCACTGAAGGGGCAGTAGTGACCAGAAACAAACTCCCATATGGGCAGTAATTAGATTATCACCCTCCTGGTTTAGAAAGGTCAGGAGAGGTCTGCCACGCCATGTGGGATCACCTCCGGGACCAGGGATCGAACTCTTGCAGAAATGGGTTAAGCTTCTTAGTGCTGTGCTTTAACCTGCTGCGTCACCAGGGAGGGCCTGATGTTTTTAACTTTAAAGATGTAGTTAAGAATGGCAGGACAGAAGGAAAGCAACACCGGAGCTCTTTGACCCCCGTGAGAGGGTATTAATAGCTGTGTTCACAAGGAAGCCAGAGACAAGCACTGACAGAGATGGATGGCTACCATGGGTTTACAGCCATCCAAAACCCAAGGACTGAAACGTGATGTGCACACAGTTCCATGCCGGAACCCAAAAATATCACACAGCACTGCCAAATCCAAACTTGAAGCCCACGGTACTTGACCTGTGAAGCCAAGTCTGACTTCAGCTGTTTGCTTCAACATGGAGGTGTTAAATGGCAGAATTCTCTATTAAAAGTTACAAATGAGTCAAAGCTTTCCATTTCCCTCAGACTTTTCAATAATATCGTCCATTTTCCTCAGACTTTTCAATAATATCATAAGAGGGAGAGCAGCACAAGTCAGCATCAAAGGGAATATTTCCCAGGAAACAGTTGGTGACCAATGATCCTAGAACAGGAAAGCACACTGAAGGGGCAGCAGTGACCAGAGACAAGCTCCCATATGGGCAGTAATTAGATTATCACCCTCCTGGTTTAGTTATTGTAATTAGGTAGCTACAGATTTCTAAACCCATGATCAGAAAACAAAACAACTCAAAACCATCCACTTAAGCAGCTTGGTTTTCAAGACAAACCAAAGCAGGAACAAGAGGCACAAGGCAGTAAAAATGTAATTTATATTCTAACTTAGAACATAAGTTACATTTTTATAAAAAAAGATTTATTTGTTCATACAGAACTGGGGTACAGGCCAGAGGCTCAGGGCAGTGAGAGGATTCACCATAGACAAAGTGGGGAGCAGAACAGGCAGATCTACAAAGTCCACTGTTGAGGGGAGCAGTGGGCGGGTCAGGAGAGGTCTGCCACGCCATGTGGTCACCTCCAGGGCAGACGGGATCGAACTCATTCGGAAGTGGTTTAAGCTTCTTTGTGCTGTGCTTTAACCCGCTGTGCCACCAGGGAGGGCCCATAAGTTACATTTTTAAGTAATTCCACAGGCAGTGAGGAAGGGAGGCCATATTTACCAGATCACTTAAAAGGGACTGAGCTGGGATATCAACAGCTACTAATACTGATATAGGACTAAAAGTGGCCAAGAACAGAGCTCAAATAGTTTACCAGTCACTGTCACAGCATTGCACACCATTGCAATACTACTCAGGTTAAGAGAACAACAATAATGGGATTTATTTAACAAATAAGGAAAAACAAAGAGTCACTAAGTCCACAAGTGGCCACCCACCTCACCCAAAGTAATGTCCAGCATTTTAAAGTCTTAAACACAAAGGCTCCCCAAATGGTGTCTTCCTGCCACTGAAGGCCTGGAGCCTGTGGCAGGCAGCCAGACAACAGGCCAGGATCGAGCTAATGAAGACAGCAGAAGACACAACAGGAGAGGCTCACTGGAGCTGCCGAGATGCCCCACCACTATGCCAGACAATCAACACTGAAAACAGTAGCTGCAGCAGCAGAACAACCAAAGGCCCCTCACTCACCCAGTTCAAGGTCATATATCACCTTCACGCAGCTCCCGGTCCTGCCTTCCCTTGGAGGCAATAACAGCAGCAAAGCTGGGAACAGTTTCAGTTGCTCGGCTACCTGTAAAGCCTCTGAACCCTCCCTCTCTGAGTGTGGCTGCTGGAAGCCTCTCCATGTCCTTCAGAGGCCCGTAACAGCCTCCTGGAAGATTGGTGTGGTGGGGGTAGAAACAGCTGACCTGAGAACGCTGAAATCCGGAATCCTGGAAAACGTTAGATCTCTGAAAACATTCAATCCCAGGGCTGTTTCTGCAGTTCCTATACTTGCTCTCAGTCTCCACCCACACTGATTTCTTTGTCTGTATTTCACCTGGGGCTAGTCAAATTCACCTGCTTCCCTCTTCAGCAGCTGCACCTGTAATAGCTTTTGTCTTCAGCCTCTGGTTACACTGCAGCCCAGGAAGGCAAACAAAAGAATTGGGAGAAGGAGGTACAGGAAACCACAGGGTTTAGAGAACGCTGCTTCCTAAACTTTCCAGGTTAAACCAGAGAGAAGAAAAAACAGTGATGTACTTCCTCACAGAGTGTCCAGGGGACCTAAAAGAGCCTTTAACCGAAATGCACTCACCTGACACTCCCACATGTTGCCTGGTATAAGCTGAAGGTTCACAGAATGGTGACATCAGCAGAGAGAGATGTCACATTAAGCTTTTGCTTCTCACTGATTTCTCAGACTGGCCAGTTTAACAAACAAAATAATCGCCAGGTCATTTCACACCTTTATTTATATATATATATTTTACATCGCTGTCCATTCTCCTATCAGGTGTAATTCCCAAAAGACACTTGTGAATCATCACCATCGTCTCTTATACTCTTCCCTCCCATTTTGATCCCTTTCCTACCCTTTTCTTCTTCTCCCCCTCCCCTAGTTTGCTTTTTGTTTTTAACCTATACTCTTATGTTTATTACACTACACTTTACAATAGCTAAGATATGGAAACAGCCTAAATGCCACCAAATGGATGACTGCATCAAAAAGATATGATATATATGCAC